AAGGCCAATCTCCGGGACCGCGCCGGGGCACCCGTCTGCGCCCCGCTTGCGCGGAGGGGTGCGGGCGGTGGCTGCGCGCAGCCAGCCCAGCGCAGGGGCCCTGCGGGGTGTTGCGGCGCCTCAGCCTGCACGGACACACGTTTCCTGCAGCGCCCATGGCTCAGTTTCTCACCGCTTCATCCCCCACCGGTCAGTAACACGCCTCGTCCCCATCTGAAGATAGAGCGGGCTTTAATTGTTCTGCGCAAGCTCAAAGGCTGAGGGTCTTTATTGAGGCAGGGGTCTTCCGAGCAGGGGCCGTGATTTGTGCTGTTGTCGTGAGGACAGTTCCTCCTAAGGACACTCTAATCTCTGCGCTGATTTACATACACAATTTTAATGAGCTTCCATATTCCAGGTTCTTCAAGGACAGTAGCTCCTGATCAGAAGTTCCTCACTAAATCAATGCTGGCGGCTTAAAGAACAGACTGACCTAACTGATACATCTTACACGTCCCTGTATTTGATGAGAAACATTTGTAGGGACTGCAATACGTCCTATACGTCCTTGTGCTCCATTTGTTCAGGCCACAGCGGGAGCGTCTGTGCCCCAGCCCCGACAGCGCCCGGCTGGGGTGGGGTCCCGGGTGCTGCAGGGGGCTCCAGGCAGAGCCGAGGAAGGGGCTGCGACCCCTCAGCGGGGCTGCTCCCGGCCAAGCAGAGTCTGCCAAACCTCCCCCACCGCCCAGCCCTTCCGCTCTCTCCTCACGTCTGATGCGAATGGCAGCAGCTGCCAGGGGCTCCCTGCAACCAGGGCGGCGTCTTCCGTGCGCCTGAGCAGGTGGCACTCGTCCCTCCAGGAGCCTGTCCCCTGCCAGGCCTGCAGCACTGGCTGCAGATTTGGAGGCTGGGCTCAGGTCCACACACTGATTAGTGCCAGGCTGGCGCCTGGGTGGTGGACTGCGTGTTGGCCTCGGTCCGGCCAGGATCAGGGCGACGCGCAGAACAAAGACAAACTCCCAGCAGTTTGTTGAAGGGGGGGCATTGCCAAGAGCAGATGCTGCTGCACTGTCTGCCAGCTCCCAATTTATTCCCACTTGTTTACTAGGCATGTTTTCCCTTCTCCATCCTACTGACCTTCAGGTTTTATCTGTTTACTGCTCACACGCTCAGCTTTCATTCTGCAGGCGCTGTTCTGGCTCTTTCTGACGCTCCCAACACGGTGTTCTGAATGTTGCCTCAGTTCCCCACAATCGTTCTTCTAACCCCAAGGCCAGTTTACATTTTGTTAACCACCAGTTCTTAACTCCCACACCGCGAAGCAGCAAAACCAACATACTGGCCAGCTGAGGGATGGGAAGAGCTGGCAGACAAGCTCGGACTCAGATACCTACTTTGGACATGGGTGTTTCCTCTCATCTGCTGCGTTGGGATGCTCTGTCTCCACCTTCCTCCCCTGTGCCAGCCACGCTCATGCCTCCCTGGCAGCCAGACCCTGGTTGAGACAACTCACCTCACTGGTGGCCTCTGGACACCCAAGGAGCCAAATGGCGTTTGAGTTCAGACGTTGCTCCCAGAGCACACCCTGGCTGTCTCTCACTGGGGGTGTGCGTAGCGCTGAACTCTCCCTCCTCCAGCAAACCTGTGCAGCTTCCTGCAATCTGCCTCTCAGGACTGCTGTGACTCTCCGACAAGGCCACTCCCAGGGCTGCACTGACAGTGTGAGAGCCTCGACCAGCCACAGACAGTTCTAGCTGCCTTTGTTCAAATTCTGCCGCGGTGTGTCCAGTCTCATTACACCCGTGGAGATCAAGTTCTTTGGGGAAGTGGGTGAACTGACATTCACATGCTGCTGGTAGATGTGGCCCATGACTACTTTGAGGAACTGGTGGAACACCTCACCTTGTCTCCAGTAGCTCTGATGCTTAAGAACAGACAAATGAGTCACAGGTGTAGATGCTACATGCTGCATCTGAGCAGCTAGGGAACACTTTCCTGCCTCTTGGATCTTCAGTCACGCTTGGTCAGAAAGTGCCACAAATACTGAACTGCTGCCCCCTTAGCCCAGCTTCACCTCCCCCAAACTTCTGTCCAGCTGGGATGCTGAAGCTTCTCACTGACTCTTGCTGGAGAGCACTCATTGGCTGTGAATGGTTTTGGGGTGCTGCACCACCAGTATCTTCTGAGCATCTCTGGAGGACATCAACCCCCTCATGTCTGGGCCTCTTTTGAAGTGCAAAGCAGTAACACTTGGTCTTAGTGTGGCATAAAGGTAGTCTGCTCAGATGCTCACATATTTTCTGTCTAGACAAAACAGCAGAGTCTGGGGCACCCAGAATAGGAAGTAGCCAGGTGAACAACCCGACTGGTGACAGTGATACAAGAAGTTGCCAGTGGGCTGGAGGGCGGCTCTGTGCTGCTGCAGAGGGGATTACTGTATCCACGCCTCCATCTCTCTCTCTCAAACAAACACACACACACACACACACACACACACACACATGCTCTTCTGGTGCTGCGGTATGTTCAAGTCACCTCTATAAGACCGATGTATGTAACTGCAGGAATCTTGCACCCTTTGTGACAGGGGCTGGAGGCCAGCTGGGGCACCTAAGGATGTCTCAGATGTCTCTAGGTCCCATTGCACAGTTAACTGAATCACCCTGACTATGTGAAGTAAAGGGTTGAGAGTTGTCAGGGAGCCCGTATGGCAAGCAGAATAAACTGCTCATCAAGAGAAAATAAAAAGGAGGGATGTCGTTATGAGTTGAGGCCTCTTGAGTTTCTGACCACAGACAGCATGCAGAGCAAAACACATTTCAGTCTCCAGTGGCCTTTCTGTGTAAAGGTGAGAACAAACAGGAAGCCCAGTTTTCAAGCTCTTTTCATTTTATCATTTGAACAAGCCTCTCCATAATTTGGGGCACTAGTGTGTATTTGAACCAAAGAGATGCCATGTGGATCTGAGTAGAGATCTCTGGACAAGTCCTACATGTGTGGCTATGGCCATTGCTCTCCAAAGTATGTCATCAGTGTGAATGCATGGTCATCCATGCCCAGAGACCTCTTCTCAGAGGGCAGGATTAACTTCTGGGTGGAGATCCAACGACCATATGGTGTCTGGTGAACCTTGTTTAGCTTGTAAATAAGGGATGTAAAATTTTTAAGGACATGTGAAGCCCCAAACATGATTTGCTAGTAATCACAGGCCAAATAAATGTCTCAGATTATCTCTGGAGATAACAAGTGGGCTTTGAATATTTATTCAGAATCTCTGATTCTAATCTAGCTAGTGCCAGAGCTAGATTAGACTACAGCCATGCCAAGGAGTAGCCAAGGCAGGGTAGAGCACCAAGGCTAAGGGGAGGCTTAAACACTGCAACAAAACGGAATGAAGCCTGGCCACAGATGGGTTACCTGCGTAAGGTAGATATCGAATACTGCAAATCAAATATTGCAAAAAATATTGGGGATGGCATCCATTTGAGATAAAGGTTGGGAAATGCAGTACCTCAACCTAGGTGCTTTTTACCACCTGGAATGCCCCAGCTGTCCAGATAAGCTTGGCAGATAGCAAAGCCTTCTGGAGCATCAGCTGAAGGTTGTGTGAAATACCCCATAGTGCCAAGTATGGTGTTAGAAAATCATATTAGATGACTAAATGCCTGCCTAAGGCAGCTGAGACATTCAAACCCCAGAGCTGTGAATGAAAGGGAAAAAAGCAGGAGAACAGGATAATGGGTAAGAAAAGCATCCCTGCAGTTCAGAGAATATCTAATGGCCCAGTGTGCAATTTCTTCTAACAACTCAGCGTCAGCATCGAACCTGGATAAGGAAAACCAAAGTATACATTGGGTGGGACTCATCACTGCAACTGGTATTCCAGAGTCCATCTCAGCTGATCATCTTGAGCCACTGGTCAGGAACAGGAGTGCCTCTGGCAACAAATCTTTCAACAGCTCTGCCTCAACACATGACTCCACCCTTTGGTGTGTCACTGTCAGCTGTACTCCCTGTACTCCTTCCAGGGCCCTCCTACAGTTCACAGGCCCAACAGGTCTTTCGTGATTGACTGCGTTACAAGAACTACAGTGTCCTCGGAGTACTTGAGCACTAAAGGTTGTTTCCTTCAGTAAGGTTTGAGGAGCTTGTAATGTCAAAACTCGGTCCACTTTTTTTTTTTTTTGCAATGTGCAGAAACATTTCCATGCATTTGCTTTCAAAAAGGTTCTTGTTATAACGGTTTTAATGTTATTTCATCCATGCCCATTCTTATTTTTTCTGCTTTCAGTAACAATGCACACCAATGTTCGTGAAGGAAGGGCACATGTGGAATTTCAGTAATTTACTGAAGTTTAAACATGATTGATGTGAGTTTGAAGGCTCTGGCCTCTTCCAGTCTGGTTTAAGACGTAAAATTCAGTTGCCAATGTGTAAAATACATGTATATACACAGCCAAATTATAGACATCTATAGAACACAGTTCAGGAAAACCAAATAGTTTGAGTGTCAATATTAGTCGCAGAAAAACAAGCCACTTCTTGCCATTTTGACTGATAATGGGAAACAAAATAACAGAGACAATAAATTATAAAGATGAATAGGAAAAATACTATGTGAAGATCTTATTTCAGATTGAAAATTCTGTTTTCACCCTGTTGTAGTTGTGTCATAGTCTGAAAATTCTGCAAAACACACGAGGTGTTGCGGGTAGTTATTGGCAAATTCCCAAATGCACTAATGCCAATGGAGACTTTCTATTCCAGCAGGAAAAATAAACAGTGGGAAAACTGACCCATCTTAAACCAGTTCCAGACGGAGGTTCATCCTTCAGCAGTGCACAGACAGGCAGAGCAGAGTCCCAGCCATCTGGAGAAGGTTTCTGCACGGGAAGACCCAATTCAGCTACAGAGCGAAAGTGTTTCGGGGGGGTGCATCATATTGAGAAATTTTTATGGTACC